GCACCAAGTGAACAATATAGACGAGATCCACGCTTTCAGGGTGGTATGGCGGTAGACCAGGTGAACAATCTAAATAGACCTGTTAGTCTCGAAGAATTAGAAGCTGTTATCAAAAACCTCCCTAACAAAAGAAGCCCAGGACCAGATGGTTTCAATGCGGAATTCTACTAGAACTTCCAAGAAGAGCTAATACCTATACTGCTTAATATATTTCAAAATATAGAAACAGAAGAGTTATTGCCAAATTCCTTTTATGAAGCTACAGTTACTCTGATACCAAAACCACACGAGACTCAACCAAGAAACAGAATTACAGGCCAATCTCACTCATGAACATCGACACAAATATCCTCAACAAAATACTGGCAAACCGAATCCAAGAACACATTAGAAAAATTATCCATTATGATCAAGTAGGCTTCATTCCTGAGATGCAGGGCTGGTTCAACATATGAAAATCTATCAATGTAATCCATCATATAAATAAACTGAAAGAAAAAAAAACCATATGATCTTTTCATTAGATGCTGAAAAAGCATTTGACAAAATTCAACATCCCTTTACGATAAAAGTCTTGGAGAGATTAGGGATACAAGGGTCATACCTAAATACAATAAAAGCTAATTACAGCAAGCCACAGCAAACATCAAATTAAACGGAGAGAAACACAAAGCCATCCCACTAAATTCAGGAACATGAAAAGGCTGTCCACACTCTCCATACCTCTTCAATATAGTGCGTTAAGTTTTAGCAATAGCAATAAGACAACATAAGGGGATTAAAGGGATTCGAATTGGAAAGGAAGAAGTTAAACTTTCGTTATTTGCAGATGACATGATAGTGTACATAAGCGACCCCAAAAACTCCACCAAAGAACTTATACAGCTGATAAACACCTTTAGTAATGAGGCAGGATACAAGATCAACACCAAAAAATCAGTGAACCTATTATACACAAAGGATATGGAAGCAGAGAGGGAAATCAGAGAAGCATCACCTTACAAGATAGTCACAAAAAGCAAAAAAAAAATCTTGGGATAACTCTAACCAACTAAGTGAAAGGTCTATTTGACAAGAACTTTAAAGCATTAAAGAAAGAAATTGAAGAGGATACCAGAAAATGGAAGAATCTCCCTTGCTCTTGGATTGGGAGGATCAACATAGTAAAAATGGCAATTTTACCAAAGGGAATTTATAGATTCAATGCAATCCCCATCAAGATCCCATCATAATTCTTCACAGATCTGGAGTGGACAATAATCAACTTTATATGGAAAAACAAAAAACCCAGGATAGCCAAAAAAATCTTATACAATAAAGGAACTTCTGGAGGCATTACCATCCCTGACTTCAAACTCTATTACAGAGCTACAGTAATGGAAACAGCGTGGTACTGGCATAAAATAGAGAAGTCGACCAATGGAATCACATAGAAGATCCGGTTTTTAACCCACAAACCTATGAACACCTCATTTTCAATTAAGGAGCAAAAAGTATGCAATGGAAGAAAGAAAGCATCTTCAATAAAACCACGTGCTGGCATAACTGGATGTCAACCTGTAGAAGAATGCAAATAGACCCATATCTATCACCATACACAAAACTCAAGTCCAAATGGATTAAAGACCTCAATATCAGTCAGAACACAGTGAACCTGATAGAAGAGAAAGTGGGAAGTACCCTACAGCAGATGGGCACAGGAGATCGCTTCCTATGCATAACCCCAGAAGCACAGACAGTAAGGGAAACACTGATTAAATTGGACCTCCCAAAACTGAGAAGCTTCTTAAATCAAAGGACACTGTCACTAAGACAAAAAGGCAACCTACTGACTGGGAGAAGATCTTCACTAATGCCACAACAACGGTCTGATCTCCAAAATATATAAAGAACTCGAGAAACTAGACTTTAAAATGCTAATTAACACAAATAAAAAATGGGGCACTGAACTGAACAAAGAATTCTCAACAGAAGAAGTTCAAATGTCCAAAAGACACTTAAGGTCATGCTCAACCTTCTTTTTTTTTAAAAAACTTTTTTTAACTTTCTTTTTGTTTTATTGAGGAAAAAACAATTTCCGCCTCCTCCCAGACTCCCACTCCTCCCCCCCACTCCTCTCCCCGTCCCCCTACACCTCTCCCCCTCCTTATCAAGTCTGAAGAGCAGTCAAGGTTCCTTGCCCTGCGGAAAGTCCAAAGTCCTTCCCCCCCCACCCCCTCGCCAATCCTGGTCTAGGAAGGTGAACATCCAAACTGGCTAGGCTCCCACAAAGCCAGAACTTGAAGTAGGATCAAAACCAAGTGCCATTGTCCTTGGCTTCTCAGCAGCCCTCATTCTCTGCCATATTCAGAGTGTCCGGTTTTATCCCCTGCTTTTTCAGTTACAGTCCAGCTGTCCTTGGTGAGCTCCCATTAGATCAGCCCCACTGTCTCCGTGGGTGGATGCACCCCTCGTGGTCCTGACTTCTTTGCAGAAGTTCAACTTCTTCAACAGAAGAAGTTCAAATGGCCAAAAGACACTTAAGGTCATGCTCAACCTCCTTAGCAATCAGGGAAATGCAAATCAAAACAACCTTGAGATATCATCTTACACCTGTCAGAATGGCTAAAATAAAAAACACCAATGATAGCCTGTGCTGGAGAGGTTGTGGAGGAAAGGGTTCCCTCATCCATTGCTGGTGGGAATGCAAATTTGTGCAACCACTTTGGAAGGCAGTGTTTCGGTTTCTCAGGAAATTCAGGATCAACTTGCCCCTGGACCCAGCAATACCACTCTTGGGAATATACCCAAGAGATGCCCGATCATCTCACAAGGGCATTTGTTCAACTATGTTCATAGCAGCAATTTTTGTAATAGCCAGAACCTGGAAACAACCTACATGCCCTTCAATGGAAGAATGGATGAAGAAAGTGTGGAATATCTACACACTAGAGTATTACTCAGTGGTAAAAAACAATGACTTCTCAAATTTTGCATGCAAATGGATGGAAATAGAAAATACTATCCTGAGTGAGGTAACCCAGACCCAAAAAGATAAACATGGGATGTACTCACTCATAATTGGTTTCTAGCCTTAAATAAAGGTCAGTGAGTCTATAATTGGATATCCTAAGAAGCTAAATAAGAAGGTGAACCCAAAGGAAAACATATAGCTATCCTCTTGGGTAGGGGAAGTAGACAAGATTGCCAGGCAAAAATCGGGATCTTAAGGGTGGGTGGGGGAGGTAAGAGGAGATGGGGAGAGAAAAGTGAGAAGGGTAGGATGGGGAGAACTTGGGGAAATAGGATGATTGGGATTAAGGAAGGTTGGATAGGGGAGCAGGGAAGCATATATCTTAGTTAAGGGAGCCACCTTAGGGTTGGCAAGAGACTTGAACCTAGAGTGGGTCCCAGGTGCTCAGGGTGATGTCCCCAGTTAGTTCCTTGGGCAGCTGAGGATAGGGAACCTGAAATGACCCTATCCTAGAGCAATACTGAAGAATATCTTGCATATCACCTAGAACCTTCATCTGGTGATGAATGGAGATAGAGAGAGAGACTCACACTAGAGCGCACTGGACTGAGCTCCCAAGGTCCCAATGAGGAGCAGAGGCGGGAGAACATGAGCAAGGAAGTCATGACCACGAGGGGGGCACCCACCCACTGAGACAGTGGGGCTGATCTATTGGGAGCTCACCAAGGCCAGCTGGACTGTGACTGAAAAAGCATGGGATAAAACTGGACTCTCTGAACATGGCGAACAATGAGGGCTGATGAGAAGCCAAGGACAATGGCACTGGGTTTTGAGGCTTTGTGGGAGCCTAGCCAGTTTGGATGTTCACCTTCCTAGGAATGGATTTAGAGGGGAGGACCTTGGACTTTCCACAGGGCAGGGAACCCTGACTGCTCTTTTTACGGGAGAAGGAGGGGGAGAGGAGTGGGGGCGGGGGAGAGGGGCCGGAGGAGGGGGAGGGAAATGGGAGGTTGGGAGGATGCGGAAATTTTTTTTTTGGATATAAGATAAAAAAAAAAAAGAAAAAAAAGAAAAAAAAGAAAGAGAAGATCCACATAAATAAAATTAGAGATAAAAATGGGACAACACAACAAACACTGAGGAAATCCAGACAAATAAGAACAAACTTTAAAAAGCCTCTGTAAGGCAAGGGATAGCATCATTCAGATAAAATGTCAAAGTATAAAATGGGAAAGAACTTTAACAATACCACATCTGACAGAGGGCTAATGACTTAAAAATATAAACAACAAAAACAAAACTGGTTATAGTTAAAAGACACTGAAAATTAGTCTAGAATTCAAATTGTACACAATTTATGGTGACATAAAATATAAAGAAAATAGTAGTCCTCCATTTTACAGTGTTCTACAACTTTAGATTGAAAACTCACTCAAATGAAAAACCTACATCCGTACTGAGTTCTTTCTTGTCATCATATAATCAATATACTATTATGCTATTTACAGTTATTATGATTTATCAGTTATTATTATTAGACATAACTCAACATTATTAAAACGTATGGAGATACTAGGGGTTATTCAACAGCTGGAAACACATGCTTCTTTTGCAAAGAATATTAGCTATATTTCCAGAACCTACATGGTGGCTGACAACCATATATAACTTTAGTTATTGTGGGTCTGACACTCTCTCCTTGCCCTAAGAACACCAGATACATACATGGGGAGGATAAGACACACAAGAGTACAAAACATCCACTGCCATAAACATAAATAAGAATCTTATTAGTATATTTATTATATGCAGTGCTAATGTACTTTATTACAAAAATTTAAATAATTAATGCCCTTTATCTGGATGATGGTACTGGAATCCTACAGTTTAACAGAATTTTACAATTCATGACACTAACAGATATTTTTCACCAATAAAAATAAATCTCATTTCTGAAAACATTAACATTCTACTAAATCAAAATAAAGTCAGGAAATTTATTTCTAAAACAGATTCCTAAAAGTTAACTTTAGGTTAGCATACATACCTCTAGCATATAATCTTATGGTGTTCATGTAAGTTGCAAGATTTTCTGTTACCAAAGTAACTAAAGTATGATTATGTTGAAGTTGCCTGATTAAATCACGACGATAAAATACATGAGGACTTTGATGAGTTCGACTGAAATTAAAAATTGGGCATTAACATTAATACCACTGTTAGTAGAAAATTAAATTTAGCCACTACATGTAAAATGCTAAAAAAATTAAGGCAAAATATGGCCAGTAGTCTTCTCTTAATAATAAATGTAACAGTAACAACGATCTATAATGCCACGTACCATTTATTTCCATTTTACGTAAAAGGTATCAGTCTTTTTTTCCAATTTACTACTAGAGTACAAGTGTTTACATGACTCAAACATTATACAACAAAGGTATATTATAAAATACTGCATTTGCAACATGTTCTGTTTCTGGATATTACCGGAAGTAAAGTTACCTAGCTTCTATTTCATTTTGTTGTTGTTGCTATTCTAATGAAAACACTCAGTTTCTCAATATTATGGAGACACAATCCTTCCTGGCCATGAACTTCCAATGCTTTTGTTTCCACCTCCCCAGTGCTGTGGGCCTTTGTTATTTTTTTCTTAATTCAGTATTAAGGTCAAATCCCAGACTTTCATGTATGCTCACCAAGAACTGAGCTATGTTTTCTAGCCTACATTGCTCTTCTAATACTAATAAAATTACTAACTTTAGGATAGTACTAATACATTTACCTGAAAACAGTATGAATGTATTTTATAAATGAAAAAAGGTTGGATCTTATGTAATCAAAATAGATTGTTAATCAATATTATTTAATTTCTCCATTGCTTATCTCCATGAAATTCTGTGATTATATATGATTTTCTAGTACTAGAAAAATAAGTTAAAATTCCTCTGAAAAAAAAGTCAAAGCACATAAAAGATACCTTACATTCCTACTTATATAAGACTTCTATGTTACGTCATAATCATACCAGACCGAGATAGAAAGGATTTTGCCGATTATCATAAACATAGGAAACTATTTAAAACAGATGGAAGTTCCTTTCTAAAACATATTTTATTTAGCTAGTACACCTCTCAGAATCTCTAGAAATCATTATTGCACTGCAAATGTTTTGGTGACAACACACATTTTTCACGAAGGGAAATTTTTCAGAAAATTCATTACAAATGTATTACTAAAAAGTGAAGGAAAAAAAATGAAGGAACCAGGCAGTGGTGGGCACAGGCCTTTAATCCAGCTCTTGGGCTGGGAGGCAGAGACAGGAAGAGCTCTGTGAGTTGGAGGCCAACCTAGTCTACAAGAGCTAGTTCCAGGACTGGCCCCAAAGCTACAGAAAGACCCTGTCTCAAAAATAAAAAAAAGGGGGGGGGAAGTGAATTAGGAACAAGATATTGGATTCACTAAGATAGGTTAGATAATAGAGTATTTTCTCTGAATTTGTCAAATGCAAATGAACTAGACATTGTTGATATATTTATTGCCCATCTATATTATATATAGTTATTGTAGTTGTTGTATGTAGTTTTTCTTATATTAGCTATAACCCTTTTTATTTTAGACAGAAAGGAAAAATGTGGTATTCTGTTTGTGTTCTGACAAAATTTGTCTGAAGATCAGAATGTGGAGCTAGTCACACTAGTTAGCCACAGAGACCATGCAATGGTGGCATACACCTTTAAACCCAGCACTAGGGAGAAAGAGGCAGATGAATCTCTGTGAGTTCAAGGATACCCTGGGTTACAAGAGATAATCAATCTAAAAGAGAAATAGAGCCAAGCAGTGATGGCTCACATCTTTAATACTAGGGAGGTGGAGACAGGAAATGATATGGCTGGGCGAACAAAGCAATATAAAGCAGGAGGAAATAGAAGCAAAATATTCAGTCTGAGGACTTATAGAGACAGGATACCCTATTTGGTCTGAAGATTTTGTAGATGTAAAACTAGTGTCTGGCTCCTCCGCTTCTCCTATCTTTCAACTTTTACCCACTAATATCTGACTCTGGGCTTTTATTATGAAGACCAATTAGAATTAGAGCAACAATCAATAGTATCTTCTTCAACACATCTAATTCAATAAAAAAGGAATAGAAAACAACTAATATTTAGCATATTCCAAACAAAAGAACATACAAACAACAACAAAAAATGGCCATGTGTAGCAGTACTTGACTTTAATCCCATCACTGCAGTGTACTCTACAGAATGAGTTTCAGGACAGCTAGGAATGTATAGAGAGACCCTGTCTTACAATACAAAAACTAAACTCAAATAGAAAGATCTCTTTCTCTAACTTTGTCACTTTCCTTTATTTACAGTTTGCTAATACTCATAGACTAATTTCAACACAATCATAAATAGCAAGGAAACTGTATAAAAACCTTACCTTAAATTTGGAGGTGCTTCATTAAACAAACTACAAATCTCTTTTATTTGTTTCAGTGCAGGGATAACCCATTTGTTATTTGTTCGAAGTTCTTCTATAAAGTGATCTATCCACTGGATTTTTTGCAAATCTCGATCCTTACATATAAAAAAAATTACTTAAGTTCTGGCATAACTCATGATAACTATATAGAATTCAGCATTTAATATAGATTAATAAAATTCAACATGTCTCTCTTTAAGGTTGCTGAAACTTTCAAAATAGAAAAAGAATTTAAACTTCATATAATTGTAATTTAACTGAATTTAATCAAACCAAATGCTCTGTAATATAAAATATTACAATACACTCAATGTTACATGTTTCTAATATATTTTAAGTATTTCTCCCATCTATGCACAAGAAACATGGTTTTTAAAGTATCTAAATTTGGGCTTTGTGTATTATTTAGTGTTTTGCTCATTCTACATCATTATAAAAATTCAACAAAAAAATCAGCAAAATAAGCAAAAGTGTTAATCTTGAGAAAATTAAAAACTGTAGTGAGCTCACTTTAAATATTCTGCCACAGTTACTTTTCTTAATATTGTACAGGACTTTGCTGGCAATCATAATTTTAGGTTTAGTTTATTAGTGGTGATTCTGTGCAGATTTGGAGAACAATAATAGGAAATACTAAATATGTAAGGAAAAGTTGTGTGTGTGTGTGTGTGTGTGTGTGTGTGTGTGTAACAGGTCAGCATTTGTTATTTGCCTTAATCATTCTTCATTTGAATTTTTGACTTAAGGTGTCTCACTGACTGCAGAGTTCATTCTTCAAGATTGTCTGACCAACAAGCCTCAGGGATTATCTAATTGCTACCTCTTTTGTACTTAGCTCACATTTGGGCCCTAGTTTTTGCATAACAAGAACTTCAGAGACTGAGTTATTTCAACTCCATAAAGAATATTTAAAGAAAATACTATGATTGCTAAATTTGTCACTACTTTTCAAGTCTTCAATGGGAAGCCTAGGAATAAACACTGCATTTTCAAAATAACAAGAGATAAAGGCTGAATTTGAAAAAGAAAATTTTACTATCGTAATGACTATAATAACCAATAATCTGGCCAAATTCAAGATAGTATCCAAAGCAGTAATATGAATAAGCAAGTGCTAGATGAGCATTTATAATAATTATTTTGATTACTTACAATGCTTTTCTATTTGATAAAATATTATTTGTTTGCAAGAACCTTATTAACAATTTTAAATGCTTAGTAAAATGTCATTATCAAATACATAATATACCATGATCTGATTAAGTAACTTGATTCAGATTGATTTCCTCCTCATGCCTCTGAAAATCCAAAACTACTGTATTTTTATCTAACTGTAGAAGGAAACAGCTAAGATAAATTTTTATTTGTATCTTCTTCAGAATCGAAACAAACCTTCAGCTATGTGAATAAGTATGTAGTCTAGACTATGACTGTCTTTTTAAAAAGTATTCAAGCCTAAGAATATTCTCTTATTTACACATATAAGGATAACAATTAACACATAAGAGATTTTAAGAGTATTTTGATAAAGATAGTTCTGTAAGTACTTTCAAAACATCGGCAATACATTTTCATAACTATGACCAATTTAAGTTTGAAAAATTATATGTGCACGCATTAAGCAGTAGTTCAAAGTGTAGAGGCAAGAGGAAAAATTCATAAAGTCTGTTGTCTCCTATTTTAAGGTAGGATCCTGATGGAGGAAGGTCATTGGTTAAATAAAAAGAAACTGCTTGGCCCTCATTGGTTAGAAGATAGGTGGGAGGAGTAAACAGAACAGAAAGCTGGGAGGAAGAGGAAGTGAGCTCAGACTCCACAGCTCTCCTCTCGGGAGCAGATGCCTCAGAGAGACGCCATGCTCCCAGCTCCCAGGCAGACGCACGTGATGAAGCTCCGACCCAGGATGGATATAGGCTAGAATCTTCCCGGTAAGCGCACCTAGGGGCGCTACACAGATAATTAGAAATGGGCTAAATTAATATGTGAGAATTAGCCTAGAAGAGGCTAGATAGAAATGGGCCAAGCAGTGATTAAATGAATACAGTTTGTGTGTTGTTATTTCGGGCATAAGCTAGCCAGGCAGCCGGGGTGCTGGGGATGCATCCCCGCCGCCCTTATTACTACAGGATCCAAAGATTAAAACAAAGTCATCAGGTCTGCATTGCAACCACCTATTCCTGATGACCTATATTTCAGGCCTCGGAACACCTAACTTTGATTTTTCATGACCTGATTTATTCAAATGAGTAAAACATAAAGAAACCTGTACCTACACCTTTTAAACTTTTGTTTCAAAACAGAATACATCATACCTACTAAATCTTTAACTGAAGATGCTAAAGAGGATTCTATAACAAAATTCAACTAATAATTAAAAATGTCTTTGAAAACAAAAATTATGGAATAAAATGCAACTGTCCTCCAACTAAGACATCATATTTAACAAAATAAAAAGAGTTAACAAACAAAGTAATGAAGCACTTTCTAACCTGGGAACAACTATAATCGAGTATTTTTATGTGGGCACTGAGAGCGAGATCCATGATATCTACAGGTACATCATCACTGTGGGCTAGATTCCACAGAAGAGTCAATACTTTGTGTGCCATTACACCATCCTTGTCATCTTCTGCAAGGCGACGAATCAGTTGAAGAAGCTTTTGACGTTGTTTCTTACTTGCATTTGTCCAACTTGCCTAGAAAAAATAGGAGTGACACAGCAAAATCTACTGGAGCAGAGCACAGAGTGACCAATGGGGTAACTAGAACTGTAACACTGACTGTACTATGAGGAAAAACCACTGAATCTTGGATCCTACTAAGAATGGCACCCACATGGATAACTGCATCCATAGAAAGCCTGAGAAAGCTTGGGAAAGAATAAAGTAAAGCATGTTTTCTTGGTAGCCACAATTTCTCGGGTCTGCTCTGCTTGCTAGAGGCAAGCAAGCGCTCTCATCTAAGAGAAGCTTCCTGACTCAGCTTTAGCTGTAAAACTGCAGCTCTTTTAAGAGGTCCTGCCACGAAACACTTAAATAGTGTTGATAAAAAGCTGACTGCACGCTTTTCGGTTTTCAGACTTAGCAGGAAAAAAGCTGTGCAGTTTTAAAATGCCGGTTTTCTGGGCCATCCTGCCAGGGCAAACTCTGACTCTTTCAGTCAAGCGGTCTGATTATGGGGCATTTGAGTGTGGTTTGTGAGCACACTGTTGCAGCTTGCTTGCTGGCAGGGACCTTGAAACACCACAGAGTTGTGGCAATAAACATGGCTACAGCCAGTACCTCTGCTATGATGCTGGCATCGCAGAAAGCCAAGGAATGAGCTGAATCCAGACATCAAAGCCACGGTTTAATCCTACTCATATTGCTTGGTAAATTAAAGACTCGTGTAGTCAGAAAAAGAGAGATATACAGTAAAGAGAGATTAAAAAAAAACCTCTTAATGGTTTACTCTGTGTTAAAATATATGCTGGTTTGGGAGGGAAAAGAAAGCAGTTAAAGTCCTTAAAAAAAAAGAAGAGAATAGTTGGGTGTGGTGGTACACACCTTTAATCCCAACACTTGGGAGGCAGAGGTCGATGGACCTCTGTGAGTTCAAGGTACAGTGGCACACGTCTTTAATCCCAAAGCTTGGGAGGCTGAGGTAGACAGATCTCTGTGAGTTCAGGGTGTAGTAGCACACAGCTTTAATCCCAGCACTTGGGAGGCAGAGGTAGGTGGATCTCTGTGAGTTCAAGGATAGCCTGGTCTACAGAGTGAGTTCCAGGATAAGATACACAGAAACCCTGTCTCAAAAAGCCAAAAATTAAAAATAAAAAATACAGTTTAAAATAAAACTGCATAAAGATGGAAAACACATAGAGAATCTGGACAATGTATGTTATTATGCTCTCTCTGAATTGTTTGAATGCTGAGGAAGGAGCAATAGCTGCTAAAAGATATTTGCTTATAAATGCTGCTAAATTAATCCAAGTTAGGTACTTTGAAAATACCTTGATTTCAAAATTGAAGTCAAGAGGTATGTTACTTTGGAGAAGAGATTTTGCTTTTTCCTCAGGACATGAGAGGCTGTGGATTCATTCTGAGTTAAGAAAAATCTGGTTTGATCAAGGAAGACCAGCTGAGAAATCTCTGATAGGAACAGACAGCCCAGATGTCTGAGTTCTACATCCAGAACAGATTCAAGACTGCCACCTGAGATGATCAAGACTCACAGGATACTCCAGTCAGGACTTGATCATAATTCTACATTTTCTGTAGCTCCCCATAAGATTATCAGCGCTCCCAACCAGCTGGAAGTAGCATGGAATACTGTGCCCACATTCCCAAAAAATGGACTAAGGATGTTTTCCTTTGTTTAAAAAAATAAAAGGGGAAAGTGGTGCGGGAGAATTGTCTGTATTCTGTCAATCATGTTTTAAATAAACGCTGATTGGCCAGGCAGGAAGTATAGGCGGGTGAACCAGAAAGAAAGCAGAGGCGGGCGATGAAAACAGGAGTATTCTGGGAAGAAGGAAGCTCTTTCCCGAGTCCTGCCCAGACCACAGAAGAAACAGGATGTGATCTGCATGACTAAGAAAGGTACAGAGCCATGTGGTTAACATAGATAAGAATTATGGGTTAATATATAAGAGCTAATACGAAGCCTGAGCAAATGGGCCAATCAGTTAATAAACTTATGGAGACCTCAGTGTGATTTTCTTTAGGACCTAAAGACTGTGGGAGCCAGGCAGGACAGAAATCCTGACAAGCAGCCCTCATACTACAACAATTGATGATTTTAAAGCAGCAAATCCCAAAGAAGGGAAAAACACACAAATTAACATCACCAACAATGAAAACAGACATAGCCTCACAGTAAAGGGTAAAATATCTAGTCAAATGAACCTAAGAAACAACCTGGTGTAGCTATTCTAATACCTGATAAAATAGACTTCAAACTAAAATCAATCAAAAGAGACAAAGAAGTTCATTTCATATTAGTCACAGGAAAAATCCATCAAAAGAAACTCTCAATATTGGAAACCTAGGGCCCAAATACAAAAGCACCCTCATGTAAAAGAAGCACTTCTAAAGCTCAAATCATACATTAAGCCCCACACGCTAATAGTGGGAGACTTTAACACACTCCCCTCTCACCACTGGACAGGTCAGTCAAACAAAAAATGAACAAATAAGGGAACTAACAGATTTTAAGACTCAAATGGACTTAACAAACACCTAAAGCATAGTCCATCCAAATATGAAAGAATATATACATTCTTTTCAGTACCTCATGGAACCCTTCTGAAAACTGACCACATACGTGGTAACAAAAGAAACCTCAACAAATACAGAAAAACTGGAATAACGCCAAGTATCTTATCAGACCACTATGGCTTAAAACTAGAATTCAAAAGCAATACTAATTCCAGAAAGCCCACAAACACATAGAAATTTAACAATGCTCACCTGAATTATTGATGGGTAAAAGAAGAAATAAAGGGAGAAATTAAAGACTTCTTAAAATTCAATGAAAATGACCAAACAACATACCCAAATTTATGGGAAACAGTGAAAGCAGTGTTAAAAAGAAAGCTATTAAATTCCTACATAAAGAAGCTGGAAAATCCCACACTAGTGAATTAACAGAACATTTGAAAACTTTAGAACAAACAGGAGAAAACTCACCCAGGAGAATTAGCAGGAAATAATCAAAATGATAGCTGACATCAACAAGTAGAAACAAAGAAACAATACAAAGAATCAATGAGACAAAGAGTTGGTTCTTTGAGAAAAATCAACAAAATAGACAAACCTTCATCCAAACTAACCAAAAGGCAGAGAGAGAATATCCAAATTAACAAAATCAGAAACGAAAAGGGGGACATAACAACATACATGGAGGAAATCCAGGTCAAATTTCAAAAACCTGTACTCCACAAAATTGAAAAACTTAAAGGAAATGGACAAGTTTCTGGATAAATATCACTTACCAAAATTAAATCAAGACCAGATAAACAAATTACACAGACCTACAACTGCTGAAGAAATAGAAGCAGTCATCAAAAGTCTCCTAAACAAAAAAAGCCAGGAGCAGATGGTTTCAGCTCAGAATTATACAAGATTTAAAGAACTAATACCAACACTCCTCAAATTGTTCAATACAAAAAAACAAAAGAAATATTGCTGAATTCTTTTTATGAGGCTACAATTACCCAATCCACATAAAGAAAAACCACACTAAAAAAAAAAAGAATTACAAACCAATCTCATTCATGAACACTGATGCAAAACTACTAAATAAAATACTGGCAAATCAAATCCAAGAACAAAACAGAACCATCATCCACCATGATAAAGTTGGCTTCATTCCAGGGATGCAGGGATGGATGGTTCCCTGTATGAAAGTCTGTCAACGTAATCCACCAAATAAACAAACTAAAATATAAAACCACATCTCATTAGATGTTGAAAAAAGTTTTCAACAACATTCCTTCATGATAAAAGTCTTGGAAAGAGCAGGGATACAAGGAACAAACCTAAATACATACAGCATGCCAACAGCCAACATCAAACTAACTGTAAATAAACTCCCAGAGATCCTACTGAAATCAGGAACAAGACAAGGTTGTACACTCTCTCCATATCAATTCAATATAGTTCTAGAGGTCTTAGCTACAGCAATAAGACAAAGACAACCAAAGGAGATCAAAGGATACAAATTGCAAAAGAAGAAGTCAAACTCTCACTGTTTGCTGATGATATAATAGTTTACATAAGTGACCCCAAAAATTCTACCAACGATCTTCTACAACACATAAAAACTTACAGCAATGTAGCAGGATACAAGACTAACTCAAAAACAATCAGTAGCCCTCCTGTACACAGATGATAAAAAGGCTGGGGAAGAAATAAAAGAATCAATACTCTTCACAAATAGTCACAAACAGCATTAAAATACCTTGAAATAACGCTAACCAAACAAGTGAAAGTCTTGTATGACAAGAACTTTAAGGCCGGGCGGTGGCGGCACATGCCTTTAATCCCAGCACTCGGGAGGCAGAGGCAGGCGGATCTCTGTGAGTTCGAGACCAACCTGGTCTACAGAGCTAGTTCCGGGACAGGCTTCAAAGCCACAGAGAAACCCTGTCTCGAAAAACCAAAAAAAAAAAAAAAAAAAAAAAACAGAAGAAGAAGAACTTTAAAGCTTTGAAGAAAGAAATTGAAGAATACACCAGAAAGTGGAAGGTATCCCACCCTCTTGGGTAGGCAGAATTAACATAGTAAAAATTGCGATTTTACCAAAAGCAATATACAGATCCAATGCAATGTCCATCAAAATCTCAGCAAAATTCTTCACAGACCCTGAAAGCAATGTACTCAACTTAAAATGAAAAAGCAAAAAACCTAGGATAGCCAAAACAATCCTGTACAATATAAGAACTTCCAAAGGCATCACAATCCCTGACTTCAAGCTCTACTACAGAGTTACAACCCTGAAAACAGCCTGGTTTTGGCATAAAAACAGACAGGAGGACCAATGGAACCAAACTGAAGACCCGGATATTAATCCTTTGAAATATAACACCCAATTTAGACAAAGAAGCAAAAAATATCAAATGGAAAATAGAAAACATATTTAACAAATGGACTGGCATGACTGAATATTTACATGTAGAAGAATGAAAATAGATCTATATCTATCATCATGCACAAAACTCAAGTCCAAATGGATCAAAGACCTCAGCATAAAGCCAGCCACACTGAACTTTATAGAAGAGAAAGTGGCAAGTACACTTGAACGCATTGGCACAGGGAACCACTTCCTAAATACAACCCCAGCAGTACAGACACTGAGAGAAACAATTAATAAATGGGACCTCCTGAAACTGAAAAGCTTCTGTAAAGCAAAGGACACAGTTAACAAGATAAAATGACAGCCTACAGACAGGAAAAGATCTTCACTATCCCTAAATCAGACAGGGGTCTGATCTCCAAAATATACTAGAACTCAAGAAATTCGTCATCAAAAGAACAAATCATCCAATAAAAAAAAATGGAGTAGAGACCTAAACAGGGAACTCTCAACAGAGGAATCTAAAATGGCTGAAAGACACTTAAGGAAATGTTCAACATTCTTAGTCATCAGAGAAATGCAAATCAAAACAACTCTGGGATTCAATCTTATACCTGTAAGAATGGCCAAGAACAAAAGCACTGATGACAACTTATACTGGAGAGGCTGTGCGGTAAAGGGAACACTTCTACATTGCTAGTATGAATGCAAGCTGGTACCGCCCCTTTCAATATTAGTGTGGCAATTTCTCAGAAAATTAAGAAACAGCCTCCCTCAAGACCCAGTAGTACCACTTTTGGGTATATATCACAAGGGATGCTCAATCATTCCACAAAGACATGTACTCAACTATGTTCATAGCAGCATTATTTGTCATAAACAGAATCTGGAAACAACCTAAATGCACCTCGACTGACGAATGGATATGTGGTACATTTACACAATGGAGCACTACACAGCAGAAAAAAAAATTATGACATCTTGAAATTTGCAGGCAAATTGATGGAGCTAGAAAACATCATTTTAAGTGAGGCAATCCAGATGCAGAAAGACAATTATCACATGGACTCACTCATATGTGGTTTTAAAATATAAAGTGAAGAAAACCAGCCTACAAATCATAAATCCAGTGAACCCAGACAACAACGAGGACCCTAAGAGAGACATACATAGATTGCAGAAAAAGAGAGGGTCTGCTGAGTTAATTAGGAACATGGGTACCTTAAGAGAGGGTTGATAGGGAATGGAGAGGCAAGGAGGGGAGGAGAGAAAAATGTAGAGCTCAATAAAAATTAGTAAAAAATATACATAAACATGCCAGTAGTATTCACAATATCAAACAACTTTACTTTTTAGAATATCACTTCATTTCTTTCCCTCAGATAGCTCCACCTATATATAAAATGGTTCTAATATATTGGTTTTTGTCATTTTAATGAGAGTATCTTCTACTGTATCCTTCTATAATTTATACACATTTAATTTCAGTTTGGGGCCTACAAAACTACAACTGTTAAAATGCTGAACAGGCATCCTACAGTATATACTATGAATTTCTCCAAGGTATAGCTGGCATTAACAGCAATTGGGATATAGAATATAATTCTTCACATTTTAATGAAAATTATCAAACAAATACTTTATCTTCAGGGCCTAGTAAAAGTTATTGCCAAAAATGTAATAATGATTTTAAACAAGAAATCTTGTATAGCTAAAGTCAATGGTAAGGGGGCTGGAGAGATGGCTCAGTGGTTAAGAGCATTGCCTGCTCTTCCAAAGGTCCTGAGTTCAATTCCCAGCAACCACATGGTGGCTCACAATCATCTGTAATGAGGTCTGGTGCCCTCTTCTGGCCTGCAGACATACACACAGACAGAATATTGTATACATAATAAATAAATAAATATTTAAAAAAAATAAAGTCAATGGTAACTAGAATATTTGTACACTAATACTGTAACAGGGTTCTAACTTTTGATTAGTCAACTTTCTAACCAAATACACAGAAAAAGAATACTTAATAGTTAAACAATTCCATCAATACAAATGCAAATACACATTACAGAGTATGTACAAAATAATATTTCTTATTATTTTATCATGGTTGAGCAGTTAGGTATTTTCTCCTCATCATCCCACCCTTCATTATATTTATGTAAGATATTTTACCATAAACATTAAAATTTCCAGAAAAGACTAAAGTCAAAGAACTAAGCAGAATTAAAATGGTTACAAGTGCATACGCATGACAGAAATTATTATATAAACCACTTATAAGTTCTAATTAGAAGAAAAAGGAACTATCCAATGATCAATGTTTTTTTCCAAAGGCACATAAAAGCAAAGAAGACCAAATTAAATAATAGCAATATTTTATTATTTGTACTTTTACCTTAAAACAATCAAAAAGATGATCAAGTTGTTCAGGAGAAAAATCCCAAGCTAATTTTGCTAGTAGGTCATGTACATTCTTCACAATGGCTTCATGCTTTCCTGCCTTCAAAGAAAGAAAACAAAAAAAGGTAAAAGTAAATATAAACCACTGTATTATGACTTGGATAACCCTTAGTTACCTTCTCACCTGAAAGTGTAAGAATAACCCTTAACATAAAACAATTTCCACTGAAACTAAAGCAACTTAGTTTTTCCACTTAAAGTACTTAATAAAAAAGAAATTATTAATTTAACTTATTAAATTAATTAAAGAATTAAAGATTAAAACACCAATAATATTCAGGAAAAAAAACTTAGTCTATAAAATATAGTAAACTTTTTCAAAATTAGAAACCCAAGTAGGCTCTCTGCTCCTCCCTGTTCTAGGGAGCTTCTTTTCATGCAGTACCAGCCTCGTTCCAGAGACACAATGGTAAAGGTCAGAGGGAACGAATTTGGCCATATTGGATGCCTGGTTACCAGGGTTGCCTTCACTTCTGGCACAGTGGACGTTGTTGCCATCAATCTCAACTACATGGTCTACATGTTCCAGTATGACTACACCCATGGCAAGTTCAAAGGCACAGTTAAGGCTGAGAATGGGAAGCTTATCATCAACAGGAAGGCCAGCACCGTCTTCCAGGAGGGAGATCCTGCCAACATCAAATGGGGCGAAGCCGGTGCCGAGTATGTTGTGGAGTCAACTGGTGTCTTCACCACCATGGAGAAAGCTGGGGCCCACATGATGGGTGGGGCCAAACAGGTTATCATCTCCACCTTCCGCGAATGCCCCCATGTTTGTGATGGGTGTGAACTATGACATGTATGACAATTCCCTCAAGATTGTCAGCAATGCTTCCTGCACCACCAACTCCTTAGCTGCCATGGCCAAGGTCATCCATGACAACTTTGGCATCGTGGAGGGACTCATGATCACAGTCCATGCCATCACAGCCATGCAGAAGACTGTGAATGGCCCCTCTAGCAAGATGTGGTGAGATGGCCGTGGTGCTGCCCAGAGCATCATCCCTGCATCCACTGGAGCTGCCAAGGCTGTGGGCAAAGTCATCCCAGAGCTGAACTGGAAGCTCACAGGCATGGCCTTCCATGTTCCTACCCCCAATGTGTCCGTTGTGGATCTGACATGCCGCCTGGAGAAAGCTGCCAAGTATGACGACATCAAGAAGGTGGTGAAGCAGGCATCTGGGGGTACACTAAAGGGCATCCTGGGCTAGGCTGAAAACCAAGTTGTCTCCTGTGACTTTAACAGTGACTCCCACTCTTTCACCTTCGATGCTGGGGCTGGCATTGCTCTCAATGACAACTCTGTAAAGCTCATTTCCTGGTACCACAATGAATTTGGCTACAGCAACAGGGTGGTGGACCTCATGGCCTACATGGCCTCCAAGGAATAAGAAGCCTGCCCAGGAACCCCATCCCAGCAAGGACACAGCAAAAGAGAGGCGCCCTCGGTTGCTGAGCAGTCTCTATCCTAACTCAACCCTTGACACTGAGCATCTTCGTCAGTTTCCATCCCAGACCCCCAGAATAGCAGGAGGAGCTTAGGAAGCCCTACTCTCTTGAATACCATCAATAAAGTTAACTACACCTGTCAAAGAAAATAAAAAAGAAACCCAAGTATTCAAAAAAAAAATCAACCACAATGCTCAAACAGGCTCCATCCTAAAGATGCAGGGATAATTCAAAATACATAAATAAACATAAAGGCACAGAAATAGTGGTGTACACCGTTAATCCCAGCACTGGGGAGGCAGAGGCAGGCAGATCTCTGAGCTCAGTGTAGGGGAAGCCCAGCGCGCTAACCCCTCCCGCCTGTCTCGGCTGAGTTTCCCAGCATTCGAGCTTGGTTGGCAGCAGTACAGCCCCGGCTGAATGAGCACAACCCTGCTGCAGTTCTAGCCAGCTGTTACCGCCAGCGCTGCAGTAAGGTAGGCGCACCACAGGGCACGTGACTCCATCCAAGCGAGCTCCCCCCAATCACTCTAACCTCTCAGGCAGCGCCATCCACGCTCCCACTGCTGTTTACAGCCATACTCTAATTCACATAGCACATTGTCTGTGGTTTAACTTCCAGTTTTGAGCCAGATCTCCTAGAAACACTCAGAGGCTAGTTACAATTTTCTTAGGCCAAATGTTATTATGGGAATTTTACCATCATTTGCTTTCACAGGACCCCCTAAGAAGAACGTCGCCCCCATGTCAGCTTAAAGCCCTATTACAGGACGACATCCCCTCTCCCAGCGGAGTTTACCCTCAGGTTTAGGGACATCATTTAGTGGTTGATACGGGTTGAGGGGATTCTTGTATATTGATATACTGAATATTAAATGTGAGTATGCTTCTACCTCTATTTCTTGTATAAGAGTATGCTTATACCTGTTTATATTGTATTAATATATTTACCATATCGCAATATACATTTCTACCTCTGATATTATTTATGTAATGACACTGTTTACAGTTGGAGATCATTGTCCTCATATATTGCACAGTTGTTTATTCTCTTAGTCTTCAAGCTAGATAGGTATTGAAAATTATATCTTTGTCATATTTATATTAGGATAATCAGGTTCTTTAGATACATAGAGATATTTAGTATAGATAGTATAATCTTCAACTTCTTCGAAGAGCTGTAGAAAATGGCCTTTAATCTAACCTAGGAATTCCGTGCCAATGAGACACAGTCACTCCTGGCAACACCGCTCTACTCCTGAGAGAACGTTGAGCACCAAAGACACTCCACTGGGAGCTTGTCTTCTTCTTCGCACAACTGGCCTTCAGGCAAAAGAAAAGCCCACACCTCAACTACTGACAAAGATACAAAATATCCGTAAGTGGATAAAACAGGATTGTCCTATCTTGCCAAGACAGGGTAGGATAGTTCTAAAAAAAGTTTCTTGCCTTTGATAACGATCTGCCAGTTATGTTAGGCCTTAGCCAAAGTTGGTTGACTCAACATTGCTAATGAGAGGTTGGGTGATTGCACAGGCAGTCAGCTGTCTCTGTCATTTGTTCCACATTTTGGAAATTTCTCGTTTGTTCTTCCTGTTTGCTTAAGTAATATTACTTCCCCTCTCAGATCTTTGACGGAGTTGAAGATTAGATAATTGCAATTACTCTCTACATTATTTAGATTCCTTGAAATAGAATGTTTAGTAAAACTTTTGTTACAGGTTTCTTGCTCAATATTGTTTGTTATTTGTAATTTTATATTTATTATTTGTTCTTATTGTATATAGTTGTATTTGGTTTGGTTCTGTCTTATTTAGACAAAAGGGGGAGATGTGGGGGAAGGCAAGCCAATCACCTTGTTTGAAGGGCAGGATCCCCTTAGGCTAATATTTACTTATAAATCTTGCGGGTGTACTCCCCAGTCTTCCCTTCTGTTTCCTGCTCTTTGTTGGAACCTTGGTTTTGTTAGCTATCCTCTTCTTCCCCTTAATAAAGCTGATATTAAAGCTAGCCTGATTAATCCTATTTGCCGGTCGTTTACACCCCATCAGTTCAGAGCCAGTATTATCTACAGAGAAAGTCCAAGACAGGCTCCAAAGCCACACTGTCTTGAAAACTATTTCAAAAAACTGTCTCAAAAAATCAAAAATAAATAAAATGAAAATTAACTGAAAGAAAAAAACACATAATCAAATCGTTAGATTAAGAAATACTCGATCTGGGCGCTGTGTCCGAGTACTCGGGGCTCCCGGGCGGGCAGCAGTTCCTTTGTTTCTGTGGCCTGCCTGCACCAAGCGGGGTAGGCGCTTTGTTTGCAAGCTGCCCAACCAGCAGGGAGGCCTGATCTTTCGGCGCCAGGAGACCCAGCATTGGGGTGAGTTTCTGGCCCACGTCGCCAGCCTGGGACGGGGAGCTCGGGGGTTCCTTGGCCCCCTGTCCTTCTTGGGCTCTCTGCAGGGCCTCTACTCCCTGGGTGCTGCCTCTTTCTTCCTGGCCCACCCAGCTTCCGTCCAGAGCCCTCCCCACTTCGGCCCCACCGCCCTCTTTTGGCGTGTGGCATCGCCCAGCCCAGCCTATCTGGGCGCTGGGTCCGAGTTCTCGGGGCTCCCGGGCGGGCAGCAGTTCCTTTGTTTCTGTGGCCTGCCTGCACCAAGCTGGGTAGGTGCTTTGTTTGCGAGCTGCCCAACCAGCACAGAGGCCTGATCTCTCTGCGCCAGGAAAGCCAACATTGGGGAGAGCCAGCGTTTGGTAGGCAAGGAGACCTGATCCGGTAAAAGAAGATCCATAGGGAGCATTTGGAAGAAGAGATGGGCCGACGTCAAGGCAAGAATTCGCCCAACAAGCTGAAAAGCAACATGAAGCCACCAGAAACAAGCGACCTCACAATGGGAGGACAAGAACCCCTTAATCAAGAAGGAGAAAAGATTGACTTCATGCAAGTGATTGACACCCTTAAACAGCATGTAAAAAACGCCCTTATAGAAATGGATGAGAAATATAACAGAAAGTTTGAAGAATTGAATAAATCAGTGAATGATACCCTAGAAAACCAAGGAAAAACAATCAAACAGATAATGGAAACAGTGCAAGACCTGAAAACTGAAATGGAGGCAAAGAAGAAAACACAAACAGAGGGCCGGCTGGACATGGAAAATCTAGGTAAACGAATAGAGACTACAGAAACAAGCATAACCAGCAGAATACAAGAGATAGAAGAAAGACTCTCGGATTCTGAAGATACCATAGAGAAAATAAACACAGTGATCAAAGAAAACAGCAAGTCCAACAAACGCTCATCACAAAACATTCAGGAAATATGGGACACAATAAAAAGCCCAAACCTAAGAATAATAGGAGTAGAAGAAGGAGAAGAAGGGCAGCTCAATGGTCCAGAAAATATATTTAATAAAATTATAGAAGAAAACTTTCCCAACCTAAAGAAAGATATACCTATGAAGGTTCAAGAAGCATACAGAACACCGAATAGGCTGGATCAAAAAAAACCATCCCCTCGCCATATAATTATCAAAACACAAAGCATACAGAATAAGGAAAGAATATTAAGAGCTGCAAAGGAAAAAGGCCAAATTA